GCACGCCGTAAGAATCTCCACCACTCCTCCTTTCATGCGGAACTTCAAACTGCATAGTTTTTCTGATACTTGCTTGAGCGATTCTTCAAAATTTCTACACGTGGAGCGATGATGAAACCCACGCCCGACCACGATCACGTGCCGGCGTCGCTCCCAGAAAGAACAATCGTGTGATCATCCTTGAAATTTCCACGCTGCTTTGCGTAACCCAGCCTTTTGTATGCATAGTACGCCGATGCTGTCCTCGTGCACGTGCCGCATTAATGCGAGGCGCGTACGTGGGGCCCGTGAGCCCTTCCACGCTCCAGGAGCCGCAGGCAGTGGTGTCTCTTTCGCAACCGGCTCACCCGAAGGCCTGGGCCTGTGCTCCGTTTAAGTGTAATGTCCCTCTGCAGGAGGATTATATTTAACAATAGTCAGAAAATAGTCAGGGGACGATTTTTTATTCTCCTTTAACTATGTTTGAACATTTTTCTGCTATTCTTCGTTTTGTTCCCGAAATCCGCCTGTAGGAGGACATGCCCGAGCTAAGCCCTAAGTCCCGGAACGAAGCTTCTGCACGGACGGGGTGAAATTGAGTCCGCGCACCTTGAGAGCTCCGTCACTGCGGCAGGCCCTTGCCTGCCCCTCTGGACGTGCTCTCCCGGCTGTTGGAGAGCCTCTCCCTGGCCGTGCGGACAAGCAGCTCCAGCTCCGCAGATATCTGGTCTGAGAACCCTCCTGTCATCCATGTGATGCTCTGCGCGTCGTTGGCGACCTTCACCTGGACCACCACCTGGCCCTGGACTGGAAAAAAACGAAAACAATTAGCCTGGCGAAGCACCCAACCCCTAATTTTAACGCGGGGCGACTATAAACAGGACCGCTCAATGCACGAAAACACCTTGAAGGGCCTCCAAAATCCTTGGATCGTTGCGCCAGAGAATGTCAAACTACTCCCGCCGTCGCCCATTCACGCGCGCACTCGCACGACTCACATTGGAAGCGAGGACGGCCGCGAAACGCGTGAGAGGCGTGCAGAAATGGCACGAAGGCGCCATGCGGACCCTGCCATTGGGGCCTTCGGTGAAGCTCCCTATGGGGCCGCGAAACGTGCGGGGGCGTGCCGAACTGGGCCTGGACAGGAATAACAGAGGAGGGAAAGGCGAGAATGGGGGAGGAAAGAGGAGGATGAACGGGGGAGGCTAGAGCGAGGTGATGCGCGGTGCTGCGGGTTCAAAGCGAAGACCGCTCAACGCGCGAGAACTTGTCACGGGGTTCCGAAGTGCCCATGGAAACTGTGCCAGGGAACGTCGGAACGGGCTCGGCACGCACTCGCGCAACTCACTCACGCAAGAAGTTGACTACGCACGCGGCGCGGATCACGAGGGCGGGGGGAAAACAAGCGGGAGGATTGATGATTTGGGGGAACACTTAATAGCTCCAGCGCAGCGCACGGAAGTCCAGGCAGGAGGGCGGCGCGGCTGTCAGGCCTGGTTCGTGGTCAATGAGTCAGGAGTGATCAGAAATGGTCGGGGTGGCCGCATGTGGACCCTGCCACTGGGGCCTTCGGTGGAGCTCCCTAGGGGCCACGAATCGTGTGAGGGGTGTGCCGAGATGGCCGGGGCGGCCGCATGTGGACCCTGCCATTGGGGCCTTCGGTGGAGCTCCCTAGGGGCAACGAACCGTGTGAGGGGTGTACCGAAATGGTCGGGGCGGCCGCATGTGGACCCTGCCACTGGGGCCTTCGGTGGAGCTCCCTAGAAGGCCACGAACCGTGTGAGGGGTGTGCCGAAAGGGTCGGGGCGGCCGCATGTGGACCCTGCCCCTGGGGCCTTCGGTGGAGCTCCCTAGGGGCCACGAACCGTGTGAGGGGTGTGCCGAAATCTTCGGGGCGGCCGCATGTGGGCCCTGCCACTGGGGCCTTCGGCGGAGCTCCCTCGGGGCCACGAACCGTGTGAGGGGTGTGCCGAAATGGCCGGGGCGGCCGCATGTGGACCCTGCCACTGGGGCCTTCGGTGGAGCTCCCTAGGGGCCACGAACCGTGTGAGGGGTGTGCCGAAATCTTCGGGGCGGCCGCATGTGGGCCCTGCCACCGGGGCCTTCGGTGGAGCTCCCTAGGGGCCATGAACCGTGTGAGGGATGTGCCGAAATGGTCGGGGCGGCCGCATGTGGACCTTGCCACTGGGGCCTTCGGTGCAGCTCCCTAAAAGGCCACGAACCGTGTGAGTGGTGTGCCAAAATGGTCGGGGCGGCCACATGTGGACCCTGCCACTGGGGCCTTCGGTGGAGCTCCCTAAGGGCCACGAACCGTGTGAGGGGTGTGCCGAAGTGGTCGGGGCGGCTGCATGTGGACCCTGCCACTGGGGCCTTCGGTGGACTTCCCTAGGGGCCACGAACCGTGTGAGGGGTGTGCCGAAATGGCCAGGGCGGCCGCATGTGGACCCTGCCACTTGGGCCTTCGGTGGAGCTCCCTAAGAGCCACGAACCGTGTGAGGGGTGTGCCGAGATGGTCGGGGCGGCCGCATGTGGACCCTGCCACTGGGGCCTTCGGTGGAGCTCCCTAGGGGCCACGAACCGTGTGAGGGGTGTTCCGAAAGGGTCGGGCCGGCCGCATGTGGACCCTGCCCCTGGGGCCTTCAATGGAGCTCCCTAGAAGGCCACGAACCGTGTGAGGGGTGTGCCAAAGTGGTCGGGGCGGCTGCATGTGGACCCTGCCACTGGGGCCTTCGGTGGAGCTCCCTAAGGGCCACGAACCGTGTGAGGGGTGTACCGAAAGAGTCGGGGCGGCCGCATGTGGACCCTGCCACTGGGGCCTTCGGTGGACGTCCCTAGGGGCCACGAACCGTGTGAGGGGGGTGCCGAAATGGTGATGAGAATGGTGATGGCGACAAGGATGACGAGGAGTATGGAGATGGATGGTGATGATGATGACGACGATGATGATGATGATGCCAAAGATGAAGAAAGGTTAGGACAATGATGAGGACAATGATGATGATGATGATGATGATGATGATAATGATGATGATGGTGATGATGACGATGCTGTTGATGATGATGATGATGACGATGCTGTTGTTGATGATGATGATATTGATGATGATGATGATGATGATGATGATGATGATGATGATGATGATGATGATGATGATGGTGGCGATGATGGTGATGGTGATTATGGCAGTAATGGCGATGACGACGAGGGTAATGACGACGGTGGTGATGGGAAGTGGGACGGGGGGGATGGGAACGAAGCGCGAGGGGGAGGAGAAGAGGAGCAGGAGGAGGAGGAGGGGGAGGAGGAAGGATGGAGCGCGGCGCTGCGAACTCAAAACGAGGACCCAACACACAGGAGGGTTGGGAAAAACACACATTTGAGTTTTGTTTTTTGTTTTTTTTTGCGTGTGTGTTTTTTCCCCCACGAGCGCGCCGGCACCCCGATCCATCTCGACGCACTCCTGGGAGAGCTGCCGCTCGATCAGCTGCTTGCGGAGGCGCCTCCGGTGCAGACCCTGCCCTCGACGGGCGCCTCCACAGCACACCGGGTCCTGTGCTTCGCTTCCTTCCCCACGCTCTCGGTCGTCAGCTTCTCCCTCAAAATGCGGGCCGGACGAAAGGGGGGGATTGAGAAAGGGGGGGTTACGAAATTTGCTTCATGCAGCTGGTTTCGGCCTCACCGAGGGGCCAATTCCTCGATACATAGCCGCCTCCGGCGCCGGGAGGCGCCGGGAAAATCAGCTACGTGAGCTGATTCTCAAACCCTCCTTTTGCTATCCCCCCCTTTCGCCCGACCCGAAAAATCTTCAGCGCCGTGGACGCGTCGACCTTTACTTGCGAACTTGGCGACGGCCAGGCCCTTACACCCCTCCCCCTCCTTGTCCTTCCTGTGAACATCAACTGGCCGAACAAGTTTGTGTGGCCCTTCGGCGGAAGACTTGAAAAAGAAGTTCCGGAGACTCCCAACCACGAGCATCGTGGACAGAGTAGCTGTGGACGAAGGGTTACCTCCAGCGATGCCCAAGTTCATCTTCTGGAGAGACTCCTCGACAATCTTCGTCACTTCCTCCTCCTCCGTCGTGATCTTGCCCATCGTGCGGATCGTCTCTTCCTAACTCTTTTTGGTGATGGCCGTCTCCGTGAACTGGGTCACGTCAGACTTTGCTACGCAGACGGCGATCTTTGCCTCCAGAGCCGTCTGTTTTGCCGACCTGGCTTCATCCCTCGCCTCCTCAGCTACCTTCTCGCCCCTGCTCATCATCTTCTTCATTTCCTCATTGCTTATCGTCTTTCATCATGATCGTCGTCAGCCCTTTGATGTTCCCCCCCCATCACCGTCGTTCTCCCCACCGTCCTCCTCCTCCTTCCGCTCCATGTCGCTGTCATCCTTCGCCTCAGCATCGTCGCCTTCGTCAGCGAGCGCCTGGACTTCCGCTGGAGGCGATTCGCCCCACTGGCTGCGGCGTCAGGGCCCCTCTTGCCTACACCAGCGGCGGCTGCGGCCCAAGCATCCGGCGGAAAAGAGCTTCCGCTCTTGCCCTTGCCCAACGCCGATGCCGGCTCCGGGGGCTGCCACATCTCCGGCGCAGAATTGGGTCTGCGGGGTGCCAGGCGCGCGAGACACCACGGGAGCGCAGGAGAGTCAGTAAGTCTTTGTCGGTCCGCTTCTGCGGGGGCGCCAGACTGACACACACCACACGCCGGCCGTTGAAAGTAGGTATTTCTGGACTCCCAGATTCCAAGATACTTCAAGCGACTTCCTACTTCAAGAATTGATCGGCTTTTGCTGTGTTTTCTTATTCTCTGGGAGGGCCTGGACCCAATTTTTCTGTGGCGCCTCCCTGCTTCATTTTTTTACCCACTTCTTCCGACCGGCGTGCATTGCAGTGGGAGCTCACTTGCAGCAGGAGGAGGAGGAGGAGGGACCACCGAAGCGACATGGTAGTGAGGTGGCCCTGCCCCCCCCCCTGGGGCCGCTCGGCATGCCTCCCCCCGCCCGGTTTTTCTTTGCCGCGGGAGAGGTCGCCGTGCGGCGCCGGACGGAGCTCCCGCCGCAGAACATCGCCAACATGCTGTGGCCGCGCCGCCCACTTTGATGGGCAAATTTTCCACCACTCCTCATCCTCCTCCTCCTCCTCCTCCTCCTCCTCCTCTTCCTCTTCCCCCGTGAGGGAGAAGGGAGGATGAGGAGGTCCTCCTCCTCCTCCTCCTCCTCCTCCTCCTTTTCCTCCTCCTCCTCCTCCTCCTCCTCCTCCTCCTTCTCCTCCTCCTCCTCCCCCCTCTCCTACCGATGGTAGTGGTGGTGGAAAATGGGCCCATCACACCTGTCAGAGAAAGGGGCGAGCGGCGTTTTCCGTCCTTCTTGGGCCTACTGGGGTCTAGGCCCCCCAGGTGGGGCCCGAGTGGATGGGGTCGGAGGTCCGCGCCGCATGGACGATGCATCGGCGGTGCTTCTCGATGTGGAGCGCGATTTGCTTCACGTCGACGTCGCCGATGCATCGCCCACGTCGACGATGCATCGCCGGTGCATCGCCGATGCAACGCCGATCCTGAGGGATGTGGTCTTGAGGACGAGGTGTCTCAAACAATGTCAAGTGACCCTCGGATCCCTTCCTTATGTGGCCAAGTATGGGAGCTTCCGTTCGACCCAAAGATGTGTTCAAAGTATGGTTTGATGAGATTCAGTGCGATTTAGCGGGTGCGCCCGTGAGGATTTAGTGGGATTTCGTGGAGTCGCTAGTGGGTTTAGTGGGGGCCACGCAATCTCACTAACTAGGCGCTCGTGCGACTACCCGAAGTTACCATGCCTGGCCACCGAGCCTTCCTATCCTTAGGACCCCATCCCTCAGGACCCCATCTTTGAACCGCCGACCTTGGGCCGCGCACGTGCCGCTGGCCACGATCTACGCCCGACCCCTCTTGGACGACCCCCTCCCTGGACGCCCCCAAGAAAGGGGCGAGCGGCGTTTGTCCACCCCTCCTGGGCCTCCCGGAGGCTTCTCGCCGCCACGGCTGGATCTGCCTCGAAGAGCGGGCCATGAGGGACTTCGGGATGGGTTGGGGGACCGAGGTGGAAGGGGAGGGGTAGGAGGAGGAGGAGGAGGAGGAGGAGGAGGAGGAGGAGGAGGAGGAGGAGGAGGAGGAGGAGGAGGAGGAGGAGGAGGAGGAGGAGGAGGAGGAGGGGGGGAGGAGGGGGAGAGGAGGAGGAGGAGAGGAGGAGGAGGAGGAGGAGGAGGAGGAGGAGGAGGAGGAGGAGGAGGAGGGAGGAGGAGGAGGAGGGGGAGGAGGGGAGGGGGAGGGGGAGGGGGAGGGGGGGAGGGGGAGGGGGAGGATGAGGAGGAGGAGGAGGAGCAGCAGGAGGAGGAGGAGGAGGAAAAGCAGGCGGAGGAGGAAGGACGAGGGAGGAGTGGAGGAGGGAGGAGGAGGATGGGGAGGGGGAGGAGAAGGAGGAGGAGGCGGGGGGGGGGGGAGAGGGAGGAGGAGGAAGAAGAGGAGGATGAGGAGGAAAGGCAGGAAGAGGAGGGGGGGGAGTGAGGGGTCGGGGGACCGAGGTGGAGTGGATTTGGTCAAGCTGGGCGGGGGAGCCGCCGTTGTCTCAGCTGGTGCTCCTCCAACACCCGGCGCGCGAGGGCCGAGCGAGGGACTCCTCTGGCGCCCAGGGCAGCAGTGCCAAGGGGGGCCGCCACTTCCCCTTGCGGATCGGAGTTCGATTTCGAGGGTCGAGGATCGATCGAGCGTGTGTTGGTGGTTGTGGTATGTGGTGTGTGCGTGTGTTTGTGTGCGAGGGCCCAGCAGCGCGTGCACTGGCTCCGACCTTACTCCGCCTTGACGCCGCTGAGCTGATACCGCCAAAAATCGTGTGTGAGTGTGTGTGTGTGTTTGTTTGTTTGTTTGTTTGCTTGTTTGTTTGTTCGTTTGAGTGTTTGTTTGTGTGTGAGTGTGTGTGCGCGTTTGTGTGCGTGTGCGTGTGCGTGCGTAAATGCGTGCGTGCGTACCTGCGTGCATGCGTGCGTGCGTGTGTGTGTGTGTGTGTGTCTGTCTGTCTGTCTGTCTGTCTGTCTGTCTGTCTGTCTGTCTGTCTGTCTGTCTGTCTGTCTGTCTGTCTGTCTGTCTGTCTGTCTGTCTGTCTGTCTGTCTGTCTGTCTGTCTGTCTGTCTGTCTGTCTGTCTGTCTGTCTGTCTGTCTGTCTGTCTGTCTGTCTGTCTGTGGGTGGATGTGTGGGTGTGTGAGTATGTGCGTGTGTGCGGATGTGTGTGCGTGTGTGCGTGTGCGTGTGGATGTGCATCTGCGTGTGCGTGTGCGTGTGCGTGTGCGTGTGCGCGTGTGTACGTGTGTGCGTGTGTGCGTGTGCGCGTGTGCGTGTGTGCAGGTGTGCAGGTGTGCGAGTGTGCGTGTGTGCGTTTGTGCGTTTGTGCGGGTGTGCGGGTGTTCGGGTGTGCGTACGTGTATGTGTGCCTAGTTTCTCGCTGGAGCGGAGTTCGCCGCCTTGCCGCTGACGAAAAAAGAATGTATGTGTGCGTCTGTGTGTGTTTGTGTGTGTTGTCTGTGTGCGTGTGTGTCTGTGTATCTGTGTGTCTGTGTGCCTGTGTGCCTGTGTGTCTGTGTCTGTGCTTGTGTGTGTGTCTTTGTGTGTGCGTGTGTGCTTGTGTCTGTGCCTGTGTGTCTCTGTGTGTCTGTGAATGTCTGTGTGTGTGTGTCTGTGTGTGTCTGTGTTTGTGTGTGTCTGTGTGTGTGTCTGTGTGGGTGTGCGTGTGTCTTTGCGGGCCCGTGCGTGCGTGCGTGCGTGTGTGTGTGTGACGCTGTCTCTGTCTCCGTCTCTGTCTCTGCCCTTTTCTCGGTCTGAATATGTGTCTGTCTCTGTTCCTGCCTCTGTCTCTACATCTGTCTCTGTTTCTGTCTCTGTGTCGTTGTGGCTCAGTGTCTCTGTGTAGTTGTGTCTCTGTGTCCCAGTGTCTCTGTATCGCTGTGTGTATGTGTATATGTGTCTCTGTGTGTATGTGTCTCTGTGTCTATGTGTGACTGTGTCTCTTTGTTTCTGTGTCTCTGTGTCTCTCTGTGTCGCTCTGTGTCCCTCTGTGTCTCTGTGTCAGTGTGACCGTGTGTTTGAGTGTCCATGTGTCTCTGTGTCTCCGTGTCTCTGTGTGTATGTGTGTCTGGTCTGCCTGGCTTGTCTGGTCTGTCTGGTCTATCTCGTCTGCCTCGTCTGCCTGGCCTGCCTGGTCTGTCTGATTTGTCTGGTCTGTCTGGTCTGCCTGGTGTGTCTGTGTGTGTCTGGTCTGTCAGGTCTTGCTGGTCTGATCTGTGTCGGTGTGTCTGTGTTTCTGTGTCTGTGTGCCTGTGTGTCTGTGTCTGTGTTTGTCTGTGTCTGTGTCTGTGTGTGGGTGTGAGTGTGGGTGTGGGTGTGGGTGCGGGTGTGGATGTGGGTTTGGGTGTGTGTGTGTGTCTCTGTGTCTCTGTGTCGCCGTGTCTTTGTATATCTGTGTCTCTGTTTCTTTGTGTCTCCGTGTCTCCGTTTCTTTGTGTCTGTGTGCCCGTTTGTTTGAAGGTTTCTCTGTGTCCTTGTGTCTCTGTGGCACTGCGTCTCTGTGTCTCTGTGTGTCTGTGTATCTGGTCTGTCTGGCCTGTCTGGTATGTCTGGTCTGCCTGGGTGCGGGTGTGGGTGTGTGTGTGTGTGTCTGCGTGTGTATCTGTCTGTGTGTGCGTCTGCATGTGTGCGTGCGTGCGTGCGTGCGTGGGTGTGTGTGTGTGGTTGTGCGCGTGCGTCTGTGTGTATGTGTGTGTGTGCTCGTGTGTGTGTGCGTGTGCCTTTGTGTGTGCGTGTGTGCCTGCCCCTTCCCAGCAGCGGGCATGGCCTAGCTTGCGGATGCTGTGTGTGCGCCTTTCCTTGGTAGAGCACGGCTGATCCTCCTCTCCCGTCCTCTTCCGCTCCCTCTTTCTCCTCCTCGCAGTTCTTGCCTGCTACCTCGCCTTCCTGGGCGCTGACAGTTGGGGGGACATGGTCTCTCTTGTCGTGAGCCCTGTGGAGGTCCAGCGGAGTGTGGTCTCAGGCGGGAAACCGCACGAGGCCTCCCCTCCCTTGGTGTCTTCTCTTGGGAGATCCAGCGGAGTGCCGCACTACGCCGCTCCAAGCTATTATCCAGCTGCCTGCGGCAAGGCCCGCCACTGTGCCAGCGCAGCAGCGCAGCATGAAGAACGCTGAGTTTAAAGGCCCGCTTGAGCTCAGAGCCTTGTCTGAAACGGCGTGGGTTTGGGACACCCACTCTTCGTCCGCAGTCTCGTTCTCCTCTTCCTCCCTTGTTCGCCTTTTTTTTCTGAAGGCATACGGCGCAGTATTGGACGTTTCTTGGGAGCTCCTTTGGGCCACTGGACGGCCCGTTGGGCCTCCTCGGGAACCTCCTGGGGACTTGTTGGGAGCCTGTCGGGGGTTTCGGGTCGGGCCAGCTCGGGCGCGATGGTTCCGCATAGCTCTCCCGAAGACGCTCGATTGAGCCATCTTGGAGCCGTCTGTGGGGGCTTGAGGTAGCCCAGCACTGGTTGTAAGTCGGGCATGTCCGTTTGGAATATCCAGAACTAGTCAAACAAATAGTAGGGGATGATGTTTCGTTAATATGTTGATGTTTTTTGTATATTTGGATCATGTTAAATGTTTCATCCAAAATCCGCCCGTAGGGGGACATGCCCAACCCACTGGTTCTGGCCAGCAGGAAAGGCGGGCAGGTTCGAGGCTCCGGGCTGGGGAAGCTTCTTCTGGGTGCGCGGGCGTATCAGTCCCCCCCCTTTCCCTTGTCGTACAAGAAGACTCTGGCATCGATACTTCTCTTCTCCACTCCTCTTCCTCCTCCCCTTTCCTATCCGAAAGCGCACGGACGCCTGCGAAAAATCAGCGACGTTGCGCAACAAACAGCAAAACCATTTGGACAGAAAAACATGGTTTTTGGGAGAACTTTGCCGGCCCCTCTCCTCAACGGTTCTCCCGACATCATAGTTTTTGTTCTGGAAAGGGGGGTTCGTTGGTTTTCTGAGGAATGTTCGCTGTCGCTCGGCTTCCGCACAAGGATTCCTATTGAAACTCTC